CTTGCCCTTGGTTTTAAAAAAACAAAAAGTAAAGGAGGGTTTTCTTATCCAGGATGTGCATTGTGACAGAAATGGATAGCAGGAAAGCCGCCTGCTCGTGCACAGGAAGTGGGCTGAATGTGAGGCGCTTGGAAAATGTTTTATTGTCTTTTATCATCTTTCAGTAGAAACGCTTGTGAAGAAAGGTTGATACCAATAAAAAGCCTTTGAATGTATGTTATGTACTGTATGTTGGATACGTATACGGAGCGCAAGTGACATGTTTTAGCGGATGAAACGGCTATTGTGCCCGTATCATGTTGACAAACTGGATTTCTTGTAAGTTCATATACAGTTCAAAAGTTGAGTCAGTAATATTTTTTTAAGTTTATATTTATATTTATAAGCTGCATTTATTTGATCAAAATACAGTCAAAGATGTAATATTTTTTTTAATTAGTGTCAGAATTTTAAAGTAAATTTTTAATTTGCTGTTTAGTGTGGAAGCTGCGATACAGTATTCTTTGATGAACAGAAAGTTTGAAGAACAGCATTTATTTGAAATAGAAATGTAATATTGTAACATTAAACTATAAAAGTCATTTAAATGTGTCCTTGCTGAATAAAAGTATCAGTTTCTTTCCAAAAAAATATCTTACTCACCACAAACATTTGAATGGCCTAAAAATGTGTGTGTGTGTGTGTGTGTTTAATTAAGCTACATAGTCGTCTATGACTATCAGTCTATGGTTAGAGAGTCGGACTTGTAACCCAAACGTCGCGGGTTTGAGGTCCAGCAGAGATTGTAGGTGGGGGGAGTGAATGACCAGCGCTTTCTTTCACCCTTAATACCACGACTGAGGTGAGACCCTTGAGCAAGAACCAAACCCCCAAGTGTGTGTGTGCGTGTGTGTGTGTGTTCACTACTCACTGCTGTGTTTATGCACTTGGATGGGTTAAAAGCAGAGCACAAATTCTGAGTATGGGACGCCACACGTCACTTTCACATTTATTAAATTATAATTTAATGTGAAAGTGGAAAAGTATTATTGTTTGTCTTTTATGGGACTTTAATAGACATATGAGTCTATTAAACAGGAGACGTGATTGAATGTCATCTGAATGTAAAATGATTTACAAAATAGATTTACAGTAGACACATTAATCTCCCATAGTATATGGTTTTGTTTCATCGCAGATTTTCTCAATGAGGATAAAAATGATGCTTCCTGAGCTGGACACCTGACATCTTGTCTTAAAATGCGAGAGGATGGATAGAGCAACCAGCCCCGCGTCAGAGTCTGGTCTTTCCAATGGATTTGTCAATAGCGTGTTCAACGTTTCAGTTGACGAAGAGAGCAAAACTGAGATCTCATGGATTCCAGAGTGCAATTCCTCAGACTCCATTATTCCCGGTCAGACGCTCAGAAGAGAAAAACAGGAACCGGTCCGGCGCTCCAGGACGGCGGCCTTCTGGAGGATCCTGCAGCGCCGCAAGACCCCCTCGGACCTGGACAGACGACCTCACTCCGTCATCCTCCCCGGAGAAGCGTCCTACTTCAAACTGTCCATCACTAACAAAGTCAGGCCCTTCAAGAAACTAAAGTCCCCGTCTGTTTTTAGAGGGAAAGCTGGAAAGATTTCTGATGCCAAATTCAACACTGACCTGAAAGACGAGGCTGATGATGTGTACATGTGCAAGGACTCTCCTTCTTCAGACTTCAAGCATGTGTTTAGGAATAAAGCCAAGAGACATTCGTTCGCAGGACACACTGCAGACTTCTACTGTTCGTTTGAGGACATCGCCCCCGCTGGAACCCCAGACAACATCCAGCAGGAGACCAAAGACACCGTTAGCAACCAAAACGGCTGTAAGTTGTCAGAAAGAGTCATTTATACGAAGAAATCTCACCCCAGCTTCTCAAACTGCAACAATTCATCTGCGACGGAGCAGGAGGAATGCTGTGTGAAGCAAAGCCTCAAGATACCTCAAAGAAGACGATGGTCCAGAGGGGGAGACGTTTTGAATTACTTGAGAAGAATTTCCCTCAAAGGAAAAGGAAGTCAGACGTTGGCAGAGAGTAGTTTTGAGTCAATGAATGCCCTGGACAAAACCATCGATTCTGACTACGGCTCGGTCAACTTTGAACTGGTCAAGGATTTGAACTCTGCACCTGAACAAACAGGGATTGATGGCAAAAGCAGCCACTTTCGAGGCCTTCTCCGTTTTTTTAACACTGTGGCTGAGACTGCAATGAAATGGAGAAACTCGTCCCGCTCGTTCTCCCCCCCTGAAGGCCAGCAGTCGCCCCTTGGTTTGAGAAAGACACAGCAGTCAGGAGAGCTTGTGCCTTTGACAGTCAGGAGCAGTAAGCAGAAAGCTGATACCTCAGTTCAAGGTAAACCTACGTTATCTTCTGACATGAGCAAGGCGGTCTCGCCTGTTAGTGCAATGGTGGATTGCTCTCCTCCTGTGGTGCTGAAGGCCTGGAGAACATGCCCAGACTCTCCGAGAGATAACACTTCCCTGTGTAACAACTCGGATGAATCCCAGTCTCAGCTCAGCTCAACTCACATCTCTCTAGCCACCATCGAGAGCCACCCGAGATCTGAAGAGCCAGAGCCACCAAAAGAGACACAATCTGACTTTGAAAACTCCATCCCACATCACTTATCTAGCAAAACTGTTGATGAAAACCAAGATATTTGCACGGATAGGAAAAAAATGAACTGCCCGGAGGACATATTTAAGGTAATATAAGAGGACTTGAATGTCAAAATGCACATTGGTTGTCACACTTACAAGCATATGTAGGTTAATCATGCGTGAGACTTTAGCAATGGATGTTTATTTTCATGAGGGCAGTTTGGTCCGTGTCTGCTTTAATAGTTCTGGCGGTAGTGGCCACTCATGCAACGTAAGCAATGACATAAAGTACATCCGAGTCAACGAGGCGGAGGGAAGTTAGTGAGGGAAGGGCATAGAAAAGTGAACCGCAGCCTAGAAATACATGGGTCAGATTAGGGAGGTAGGTGTTCCTCCGGGAACAGGGTTGAAAACACTGCCTTAATAAAAACATAAAATAGTGATGGTGTTATATTCAGAATGGAGTGTCTATTTACATTAACTCCAGCCAGCAGTGTGTGGTTAAGCCAGACCAAAAAAATAAATAAATGGATTGGATTTTGCTTTTTTCACTCCACCCACCATATAGTACATGTACGCCTTTTTTCTATGCCACTCTTCTCCATTTTCCCTTTATATAGTTTATTTTAAATAAAATTTAAGAAAACATTGGAAAAATGGAAATAAAGTGTCTAACGTGTATTTAATAGTGGTATAAACTATAAAGTGTTTAACAGATATTTCACAAACCTATAATTGAAACTGGAAGTGATGCCTTCACATTGATGCATGCATGAACACCTGCAGTCAATACCTGCACACGCTGCTGTTCTTCTTATTGGAACATCTGATGTATTAAAGGGGTCATATGATGTTGCTAAAAAGAACATTATTTTGTGTATTTGGTGTAATGAAATGTGTTTATGCGGTTTAAGGTTAAAAAAACACATTATTTTCCACATGCACATTATTTTCCTCTATGCCCCGTCTTTCTGAAACACGTCTATTTTTACAAAGCTCATCGGTCTGAAAAAGCAAGGTGTGCTCTGATTGGCCAGCGATC